TTCGTGTATCACAGGTTCCTACACCACTTAAAAAAGAAAGTAAAAAATCGGGCTCATATTGAGGCATCTATTGTGGAGGCATACTTAGTAGAGGAAACGTCAACTTTTTGCCCTCTTTATTTTGATCAAAATATTCCAATAAGATTCAATCGTGTGTTGAGGAATGATGATGGAGGTCTTATTGATCATCAAGGGACGCTTCCAATTTTTACCCATCATGGACGACCCTTTGGTATTCAACGTCATAATAATAGATTAATGACGAATAGAAACTTAGAGTAGCATCGATGTATGTTCTCTTGAACTGTAATCCCTTTTATCACGTAAGTTGTTATAATTATATTTGTAATATATATATTTGTATCCCCAAATGTCTGATGCACAATTTGATGGTTTACGGGAAGAACATTTCTCGTGATGGTTAAGGAAATATGTAAGTGATTTCGCAAGTAATCTATCAATTAACCTGAAAAAGTATTTTCTAAAATGAATTCTAATGCATATTATTTCTTTCTTTCTTTCTTTTTTTTCCAAGTTTTGGATGATGATAATAAAGTTGATACTTGCATAAATTCTTTGGCTCTGGGTCCCTCACGTATAGTGAATTTTTATAATGGATATTTTTTCAATCGTTTTAAGTTTCACACTTTAGATTATGGTTCCCACAAAACAACAAGAATAGTGGTGTGTCAGTATTAGGAAGTTGTCATAATGACTATGAGCGTATCTACTATGATATGTTAATTGAAATATTGGAATTGGATTATTTAGGAGATGTTGGAAACCAGGTAACCTTATTCAAGTGTGATTGGTTTGACATCAATGGTGGAGTTAGAGTCCATCGACGATTCGGTCTTGTCGAGCTTAATAATAAGATGAAATTACAAACAAATGATGATACTTGCTCAACAAGCTCAACAAATATATTACACATGTTTTCCAACAAAGGCTAGAGATAGACTTGATTGGTGAGTGATTTTAAAAATAGAAGCAAGAAATGTTCCCAACATACAAGGAATCTTATCAGAGAATGAAGAGTGTAATGTGTGGGTGGAACTTGCATTCCAAGAGGATCAACCACCATCTACCCAGAAACGTGTTCGAATAAATTTAGAATTTGATAGCCAAAATTTAGTTCGTACTGATATTGGGGCTGATGAAGTGGATGTAAATGAATCTAGGATCTTTGATGTAGATTCTGAAAGGCATGATGTAGAAGAAAATACACAACTGGAGGACATTGACAGTAGTGATGGTTTCACAACAAGTGCTAGTGAAGGAGAAAATTGTCCTGTTTTTATTCCTATTCGTTTGAGTTCATGTTCAAACTTCATATTCTTGTCATATCTTTACCGTTTTCGTTGGCTGAATGTAGGAACATTTGACTTGTTTATGGAAGAGGGAATAATGGCTAGGCTAGACAAGAAGCTAGGTGATTTTTTGTTTCATTTTTTTCTTCGAGCTGAATGGCACATTTTGATCAATGATTGCTTTTGTGCCTACCTTACATATGCTTCATTTCACTTCATAGTTGTGCAAAAAACTTTAAAGCATGAAATCAAATATCATTGTATCCAAGTCTCTGCATATCAGAATGGTGATTCCCTTAAAATTATGAGATGCACACTGCTATTAATGCTGGTAAAGATTACTAAGTTATTAAAGAAATACTTGGAGAAAATTTGATGGACGTAAACAAATATAGTTAGTTTATCTTCTGAGTGTACTCATGCAGAGATTGTACTCTTAATTTGGCAGAACAATTAAATATAAGCAAATATGTGATTGTATCCAAAACTTGAATTATCCTGGAATCAGAGAAAGTGCAAGTTCTCTCCAGTTAGCATGTAGTTTGAGTTGAGATAATAGAACAAATGCACCTTTATATAGGTCAACAAAGTTCTACCAGCTTAATATTGGATTACTGGAATTCTTTTAGTTTGAGTTGCTGTTTTTAGTTTATTGTTCTTGTCGTACGTTTATATTTTTCGTTGGCTGAATGTAGGGAATAATGGCCAGGTTGGAGAAGAAGCTAGGTGTTGTTTTGGTTCAAGAGACAGAGTAGTGGTATATGCCAACTCAACTTCTACTGAATGTGCCCAAGATTGAATTGACAGGAGCCATGTCAATAATCTCTTCAATCTCCTAACGAGACCTGAGTGTTGCCGCTTGTAATCTGTATTTGGAAGGATTTCTGTATTTATTTCTTTTTGTGAGTGCAGCCTTGACCTAATGTTGGATACAATTTGTTATGTTGGACCCCCCTAACTATGGTATGGACAATATTGTATTGTATTTGAGACCTCTTTTGCCTTGGAAGTTTTAGTTTTATTTCTATGTTATTGGTTGTAATTTCCAAAAACTACGTGTGGGTGTTTTTCTGTGTGAAGTAGTCAGAAACATGTTAGATGTGGGGGTGCACCTTTACCCAAAAATAGTGAGTAAGTTATATTATTTGTTGTACATTGTTGATACAGTGAAGTTGGTTTAATAGCCTAATTAGTATGTATTAAGAAAGGAATTTGCTTAATTTTGTAGCTGAATATCTTGGATTGCCATTTTCACTGCCATACTTTAGTTTAAGAGGATCACCTGAGTTGATACGAAGTTCATTATGCATCTGCTGCCGTGGCATTTGTGGTGAGACTGGAAAAACAGAAAGTATGATAATCAGAGAAATGGAAATTCTCGTTTTTATATATTTTCTTGAAAACAATTGTTAATTTGCATGCTATCTTTTTTATTTTTGGGTTAATTTCACAAACCGTCACTGAAGTTACGTTTGGGTGTGCCATGATAGCATTACTCATCGGGTGACATTTCACTCATAATATATTTCACTCTATTGTATGCGTTGAGTGATATTTCACTCATAATATAAATGCAATGATAGCATTACTCATCGGGTGTACCAATTACTTATTCTGCTCATTGCATCATCAATAAAGCAGCAGCAGCAAATTATATTCTACTCATCAATAAAGCTTTCGCAAATTACATTATGCTCATCAATTGCAGTCATTAATGACCTAAGGGGCACATGATAGCATTATTCATCACAATTAACAAAAATGAGAATGTAAGGATGCTATTAAAAAAAAAATTGGGAGACATCAAGTCTCCGTGCAGCACGGAGACATCAGCACGGAGACCTGATGTCTCCCAATTTTTTTTTCTCTCCCTCTCTCGTGGGGGTGGGAGTTTTCATCGTAAACCGTTTGTAAAATTAACCCTCTTTTTTCCTGTCCAAGGGAATATGCTTAAATTTCAATGAGCAACTCAACTTGCCCAAAGATTTTGTAATTATATCACGATGAATGTGGAACAAAAATTACTCGGAAAATAAAATATTTCTTTAATTCGCATGTAAGTTATAATCAAGAAACTTAAATTAAGAATTTATATAAATTCAATAATCTAATCTTGATTCGAATCCGGATGTAAATCACAAACTTTCAACATTTGATTTTAAAAACTTGATACTACCAACCTTCAAGTCCTTTACAGTATTATGAGGGAATCTAAACATGTGTTTTGTTCAATACACTTCAAGTGGATTGTGTCACATTTAACTATTCTTCAAATATGTCATTTTCCATTAATTCTCAATAATTTGATCTTCGCCAACGTCTAGATCCGACACAAGTTTAAAAAGTTCATGATTTACTTCCCAAAATTTCAAAATATAAAGTTTGCCTCCATGAACTCATGAATTTCATCCAATTGCTTGAATACTTCTTCCAGTTGATTGATTACAATCCAAATGATCTTTGAGTGCCCCAAATCAAAATCTAATTAAGCTTTTGTAAAAAAAATTTGAGTAAAAAAATTTGTAATTCAGTTCATGGCTTTTAATCTTCGTCATTATTTACATAATTGAATGTTCTCATTATTCGTAAAAACAACTCACGTTCAAAAAATGAAATTTGGCGTGCAATTATAGCTTTGGGGTAATCAAAAATAGTTCGATATAAATGTTTGCTCGAGGCTTGAAGAGTTGGGAATTGAAATTGAACGAGATGTTTCATCGAGGCTTGAGGAGTTGGGAATTGGCATTTTCCTCGAATTCTTTTTAGCTTTCTCCTCATCATTCTCAATTCATAGCGTCTTGATCTGAATAAAGATTCGAAAGTTTACGATTTAGTCCCCTAAATTTTTGATTGTCAACTTTGCACGACCATCATATTTCTTCTAATTAATTGATTGCAATGCGAATGCTATTTAAGGAACCTGAATCTATATCTAATTAAGCTCGAAATTGTCTTATCCATTTTTTGGATAATTTTAGGTAGTGCAATAGATCCAACGAGCAAAACGCGTTTTTTTTTTTTTGATATTTCCTTCATTCTACGTTGAGTTTGAAACTTTCGATTAAGAGACAATCAAGCTTACTTTCACTATGACAATTTCAAAGATAAGAAAGGTAGGACTAGTGAAAAAATTTTAGCTGGGATTCAATCACACGAATTAAAAGGGGAAATTAATTTTTTATTTATTTATAATGAGAAGTCAATTTTACATATATATTTAAGATGAAGCTTTAATAAACATGTAATTAATTAATAATTGAATTAATTTGAATGCTTTATTTCATTTAAATTAATTATAAACTAACATCATTTTTACTAATATCATACCTTAATATCAATATATACATTTTTTTGTGCAAGAATTTCTTCCTGAACTAACTCAATTTAAACCTTCATACTTTATTTTTTAGGAAAACATTGACTTTCAAAATATCATCTATAATTCCAAAATTTCTCCATCTAATTTATCCCTCCCAAAATTTCAACCCTTCCCTCCAATTTTTCTAGAAAGCTTGTACATTGTTCCCTCATTTTCCCCCATTATATATTCCATTTTCCCGCATTTCCACTCCACACCGTTCAATTCCCCATTCTTCCTGCTCAATGTAATATTCTGTGTGAAAGCATCCTCACCACTTTTCAACCTTTCATCCTTCTCAAAACTCATGCTGACGTTAACTTCAACCGATGATGACTTCTAGAGTAAGGTGGAGTTCCATGCCTAGGGTTCCCAGATTACAAGATGAGGAAGATAATGACTGGATTGAGAATGGATATGAGGATAGTGATGGGTCTCTGTCTGCAGATGATAATGATGGACTTGATTGTAGAAAAAGGGGTCCCAACCACGGTAGCAACATTTGTGCAGATGAAACTGGAAGAATTCCTTTAACTGTGGGAGACAATAGGTATATAGCTGCACTTTTTTTTTTTTTGGATTTCAGTTTGAATGCAAAATGGTATCATTGATTTTAGATGGAGTGAATTACTGTGGGAGATAGGAAGTACGTTTTGGCTTCTCATGTCAATATTATAGTTAATAGAACATCGTATATTTTGGAAAGTTTACGTTTTTTATTTTGTTCCATGTTTATGATTTTTATCGTTCTTTTTAGATTCCAGAAATTTTGTGTTCTCTTTATGCATTTAAGTCTACATTTGCAATTTTGAAGTACCGTTGTGTTGTGGTTTAGATGGCTGGCAATTTCATGGGTTATTCTTAATTGAACAGAGTATTTGAGGTCGACTGGTAGATCTTACTTCTGTTGATGATATGTCTTCAGTTTTTTTTCTTTTTAAAGTTTCTTGTGTTTTTTAGTTAAGGTGTTGAAAATATGTTGTATAACTTCTTTCTGTGTAAATTGTTAAATTTTTCATTAGTGCATTCGCGTAGAGTAAGCATGATAAATGAATATTTCACACTCATCTTTTCAGCAGAGAAGAAGAATAATGTCATATGAACTACCAAATAGAAGTACAAGATATAGAAGTATTGGCCAGTCAGGAAAATAAATATTGAGAAAAACTTTCAGAGAGAGAAACTACCAGTAATTGTACATAACACACTGAGTTCAAAGTACTACATAAATTTAACAAAATCACAAGTAATATATTGATGCTTAATGACATGTGTAAAGCCACTTTGGATACAAAGAAAATAGTTCACAATTCACCTACCTGTTTGAACATGAGACCAATGGCAGGGCGGCTAGCAGTTGCAAGACACTCGCTGAACCCCTGAATTACACAAATGCTACATTGACTAGAGTATACTTAATTTCAATTCACTATAAACTAACATGAAAAGGCCATAGCAATACGCTACTTCTGAATCAGGTCAATATAAATAAGTAAGCATCACATTAAAAAAATTACAAAAAATGGATAAGGAGTGTTGATACATAATTTAATACACATAATTCATAACATGCAATCAAACTTGACCTGATGACAAAGAGGAGAGGCAATGAAGAAAGGTAATCAGACTGATTGTCTAGTGGTATATCTTCCATCCCAATGAACAAGCCAATTGCATATAAATTAGCTATCTTCTATGACAATCTGTACGATGCACTTCTATGCAGCTTGATTTTGTAAGCACCTTGCAATTGATTCCGCTTTTCATGGGATTGGATCAATTTGTAAAATTCACTTTCATGGTTTTTTTAAAGTCATGATCATCCTGATTTTGTATGCTTCTAGATTCATTACTATCTCGGCATCATGTTCTATAAGTACCAATTTGAAAGCATACTTGGGAGGACCTTATCCTACATTTAGTTTCGTGTCGGTTGACACAAAAAAAGTTCTCCTGGGAAAGATTCCAGGTAATACAATTTTCTTGTAAATATACTTATTCTCCATTTATAATTTTCATTTTTTTCCGTACTAATGGTTGGCACCTACATTAGCAACAATACTCATGTCCAACAAACAAAGATAATGAGGTGAAGAAGGCGTGGAATATTGTCTCAATTGATTGACTAAGAGATATATTTTGTTTGGCTCGAAAAGAAGGCTAAGGAAAATAGTAGGTCTCGAAATATAATTGATTGGAAGGATATGGACCACCGTGGTTAAGTGTAGAGCACTTGAATGATATAATTGAGAAAAAGTGGAACAATGAAGGATGGAAGAAGTCCAAACTTGGCCGTGATAACCGGCTGACTGTGAAGTCAGGAACCATCACTAAGCACACTGCTGGTTCAATCACAATTGCTGCGTACAAGATGAGTCTGGTAATGTTTAAATTTCATGACGAAATTTCATAGATGATTGACATGTTATACATAAGCATCTGATTCTATATATTATGTTCATTTTTTTTACCAAAATTTCATTCGTTAGAAGAGGTTTTTCTATCCATTTTATGTTCCATGTGAGAAAAATCAGCATGCTGCCTGAATTTCATTGGGGAAAAATCAGCATGTGATGTCTTTGGTTTTAGCTTGCTCTGGCTGAATTCAATCCGGAAAATCATCATGTTTTGACTTCAAGACAAGGAATTTATATACATTATGCATGACATGCTATTTGATTTATTCCTAATCAAGAATCTTTTAAACTAAACTCTTCATTTATTGATTGTTTTCAGCATGAGAAATTAGGCAAGCCACCTACTGCTTCATAGTTATTCGAATGTGTACATCGTTGAAACAAAGGAGAAGGAGACTTCGTAGACAACAAGTCACGAATTGTGTGGGTAAGTAGAAATAAATTCAGGTTTTGATTAGACTCTACACTCTAAATTTCATGTTATTAGCTAACTCTGTGTTGCTCGGACTCTGCGTTTTGGCCTCCATACCCGTGTCGACACGACACGACACGGGTACGGGTACGAAATATGGGTTGGACGCGGCAAGTTTAAACAGGACACGGCCAGTGAAGAAGGAGGAGGAGGAAGAAGAAAGGCTGTTGTGCTGTGGAGCAGCGAGTCGTAGGGTAGTTTAAACTAGACACGGCCAGTGAAGAAGGAGGAGGAGGAGGAGGAGGAGGAGGACGGCTGCTGCGGGAAGAAGAAGGGTTGCTCTGCGGGAAGAAGCTGCGAGTCGTAGGGTAGAAGAAGAAGGGTTGATGTAGTGTTAGTTGGGCATGTTTTTAGTTTTAAGTTTTGGGCCTGCTTTATTTTTTGTTTAAAAGAAGTTTATCAATTGTAGTTAAAATATATTTACAGTCTTATAGGTTTATTGGTTAGGTTTATTTATCTTTTTCTTTGAATTTTACAGCCTTCTTGGTTGAGTAAATTACACGATATTTATTATTTTTTTAATTATGCTTTTAGTTATTTTAATCTAGATAAAATCATTTTAGTTTTAAAAAATATCATGATTAATGTTGTTACAAAATTTTAAAACAATTTAAAATATGATTTTTCTTCAGCCAAAATGATTGACAGATAATTATAAAATCAACATAAATAAATTATTTTATAAAAATTAATAGCATTTTTTAAAATTAATATTTTTTTTAAAACTTGACAAAATAGAAATAATCAAATAATATTTTTGATTGATTTTA